AAATTTTGTTGCATCATTTTATGGATATATACTGTCCTAAAAGGCTAATCTGGGTCTTCGGTCTCAAATCCAGGTCTTCAAGAGACCAGAATTATACAGACAGGAGATTCATTACAAGTTGAGAAATAACTCTTTGCATGAAGAAATATTTACTAGAGGAAAATGGAAGGAAACCTTCACAGTGAAGGACAGTTGCACAAAGAACCAGACCGTACCATTTCAGTCATTGCTTTTAAAAAACTCCTTTGCTCTAAGTAGTTCTGTAGCATGAACTCTCACCCAGCCAGACTAGGAGGTGCGGCCTTTTATTCCCTAGAATCTTTATACAGTTCAATATCCTAATAGTGTGTGACCAGAGTTAAGGCAGAGATTGACAGCTAGTCAATGAACTGATGAATATCTATCTCATAAGCATTTCATTTTAGCTACCCATGCAGTGGGCATTTTGCCTTTACATACATATTCCAGTGTTATTATCTCATGCTTAATTACTTAGGTCTCAAAGCACTTAAAGGAATGAACTATCATTATCGGCATTTCATATAGAAAGAAATTGAGGCATAGTGGTGTAATTTGCTAAAAGTTATTGAACTCAAATCCAAGGTCAGTGGCAGGTGAAAAACAAAGCTCTTATCTCAAATATCAAGCAAGCACTGAATTCAGTTGACCACACTGCCTCTCGAGATGTAGCCATAGCAAACGCTTCCTAAGCATGTAACCTTTGTAGTCTACATGAGCCAGTGTAAAAGGATTTAAAGTTTGACCTGAATTATGGCAAACATTTCAGTGTAAACCAGAGCAACTGTACACTTAGATTCTATAGGACGTTGGGATATTCCAATAGTCATTCCATGCCTACTTCTAAATATCTTCTGAAAACACCCATTTTCTCATAGATGCTCAGTTTCAGTCACCCATGTCTGATTGTAATAGCTTTTTGCTAAGCCTTTGTAATGCTGGGCCTTTGTTTTGTTCAAACAGATAAAGGCTGCCCGGTTCTCTTCAAGTATTAATGTCGGAGTAGGAGGCACTTCATAAGACCAGCAGTAAATTGAGGTCTGATGACAAAATGGCTAAGACAAAACTAACTTTTTTTGCATTGGGCGGTTTTATTTACACAAGGAGTAAATAGTTACCTCTGTTTGTACTATTTGGAATGCTTTCACTAGCTGCATGGCCAAGTACAACTTCCAGGGCTGAATTAAACAAGCTAAATCAAGTTAATTCACTTCCACATCCAGCTCAGGTGGCTAGCAGGCCTTGAACAAGATTACCAGGACAACCAGTGAATAACTGAAACCAGAACCGCAGCCAATTTAACTCTTAGCACTGGGTTTTACTATTTCTGTTTATTTTAAGTCTTTCCTCCCTTTTGCTGGGTTCAAGACAAATAGGAACCTCAACTTCTGAGCAAGTTAAAATAAATAAATAAATACAGCTTGCAAGTTTATACTGTAATTGATATAAGTCTATTATTGCAAGACAAATTGCAACAGACAATGAAAGAGACAGCTCAATCTGTTACTGAGTCCTTGTAACGGCTATATGAAGAGCTCAGCCATTTCACTCATAAATCTTTCTTCTAAGTTTTTTATTGCTGCTAGTGTGGGTAAAATAATAAAACTATGGCGTGAAGTATACAAGAGATGCATTACTGTATCTCTAGTCACAATTACCTAAAGTTTGTTACAGGAATCATAACCATTTCAGCATCTAATCAGAAATAATGTTGTGTTACAGGCTACTAAAACACCACAGTACCTTTAAGAAGTCACTAGATTTGATCATGCCAATTGTGAATAATCACCCCTGCTGCAGATTGCTATGGTGCACAAGGATGTCCTAAATCTTTCGCAACAATGGGTCCCAAACTTTCTGTGGGACAGAGCAGTGCAGAGCATGTACCAACCTGATTTCCAGGAGGTTGACCTACTTACTAACAAGCTTAGTGGCAAATAAAGGCAACAGGGGAAAACAGGTTAGAAGACCAGGGATATTTCCATTTTTTTGGATGTTTTTTTTTCCTTGTGTGTTTTGTTTAAGAAAACCTAATTTTAACCTACCCCCTTTTTTGCAGTATTTTTTTCTGTTGTCTGTGGATCACAGTACCTAGCAGAGAAATGAGAGCCACTGCACATACATAACTGCAGGATTAGCTGTCAACACTGAATAACAGGAGCAGAAAAGATGAGCAGAGAGGTTGGGAGGGGGCTCATATGATAGGGTACGTACACTCACTCGAGCAAGATTGCTGCAAGTGGTTATGAAATGTGAAGTGCCAGTGGTTCCCCCTGTATTAGGGAACCAGGGAGAGGCCACAATACCAGAGGTGGCAGATACCAAGGTTAAGGCCAGAGATGCCAAACAACCAGCTTTTTGAAAGATTCTTTGTGGCCACATAACCACATAGTCCCCTTTCCCTGTAAAGCCTGTGAGGGCTACCTGAACTCTCCTGCCAGAGGCAGTCAGGAACTCAGCTTAGGGTTACAAGAAATTGCATCTCTGTACCAAAGTGTCCCCTTTGACAGAATCACGTATTGTAGAATAGCCCTTTCTATTTGCACTTTCTAGCACATATTCCAAAAACAAACCGTGGTCTGCCTGGCACTCATCTGCTCCACTGAATCCTCAAAGCAAAAGGTGCTGGTATGAGAGGTCTCCTTGTCTTTTGCATTAAGTGCAGAAAGGAAAAACATTTTTTAGTAAACTTTCACATGCAAGTAGGGGAGGAGGAATAGGCTAGATTTAATGCTTATTTAAAAACACAGCATATTACAGTTTAGTAATGCAGTCACGTTAAACTCAAACTACTTAAAAATGGCAGTTCCAATATCAGCCAAATAAAAAGGAAAAAAAAAAAAATCAGATGCTAAGGTTGCTAGCTCCACAGTGCATTTTCTTTAGTTTTGTTTGCAACAAATATGGTGTTACAAGCCTCACAAACACCTGACTGGAGATGCCTGCAATGGTTAAGAGGCCTTACTCTCTAAATTACCATGCTTTTGTTAGGCGGGTGAAATGGCCATAACGTTCTTTCAGAAAGGAGTATTTCCCTTCAGAATTTAATTTATAAACTCACTCCTGCCAGGCTGCGATAGCAGCTACTGTATAAACCTGAAAATGATGACTACAGAAATTCCATTCAAGCCTTAGGAATCAATAGAAAGCAGACAAACCACCAAGATAAAGTTCCACCCAATTGCAAAGAGCAAGAACGGCAGGATACCTCACTTTGTGCAGTCTTTATTTCACAGGTTGGTGGCTGCGGACACTGCAAAAACAATCTCATTTCAGTCTGAAAATCTGACCTCTGCTATCCCCATGCAGCACCCACGTAATCTGCCTGTTGGAAATGCTTTAGTGTTGTAGGTATTTCCAGGCAACAGAAGGAAGACTAAAAACTAGTGAAGACAGTTTAGAACTTGCTGAGACATATTGCATTTGGTGAAAGCTTCTTGTATGGGCTCCTTAGAGATCCTAATCCTGCTTACCTTGAAGCAGCAGCTCTACTGTAAGACAGTAACAAAGCAATCTTCACTGGTGTCGCGCCGGTTCATACCAAGTTACACACAAACCCGTGTATTTTGCACTGCCCATAGAAACAACAATTGCAGCATTACCCTTAGGATTCACTTAACTGAACTAACACTGTTTGAAGGCAGATGTTGGCATGCCGTAGCCTGATGTCAGCAGAATTTTCATTAGGGAATTTTCATTGTGAAGTGCTCTGCATTTTATTTAAATGCTTGCTTACAAATGAAAAGTGTTGCCTATGTCCAGGCTCCAATGAAATAAACCTGATGCAATGTTTGCTGACTTTTTGCATTTCCTACTTACTGTTCCGGCCGCAACTCCAGCTGCTTTACCACCTTCACTTGGTAACATACAGAGTTGTTTCGGCATGGTCATGCAAGACCCAGTCCCGCACATAAGACTTGGTGAAGCCCAGAGATCAGAATGACAGAGGTTTTGAAGCAAGTATAATACACACCATGTATCGAGCACAGAGCTTAGCTTCTCAGATCTCAAAAGGGATTGCTGTTGTAAATAAAGTCATCACATCCCTTCTCACTTACACTTCACAAGACACAGGCCAAGCGTGGATATGAACATATTAGAATTATACGAAGTAAATATTCAAAAACTTGTCTTTCTAAACCAAACTATGTGCTTCCGTTGAGAAAAAAATACTATTTGTTTAATATGAAATAAATCCTTTGTCTCCATCAGAGTCTACTGTGAAGGGATGACTTTTCCACCCCTTTTCAGAAGCCAGAAGGATGCATATCCATAACTTTAGAGAGCTTTATACAACATGAGATTCTTAATTCACATGAGTTTCAAGAAAACCCTTTGCAAGTTTGTCAGATCGAGAACCAACAAGAGAGGAAAGGATTCCCATGAAGAGCAAGCAATAGCCTAAATTGCACAGACTTTAGTACCTAATCTGCTAAAATGCATGTATAGTGAAAGAGTAGCATATAAGTTACTGTTCTGAGACTAGAAAATATTCAGTAGTGATCTGTAAAACCAACTTTCTTGTTTTCAGATGAACCGAAGAAAGCCCATTAATAAATACATTTGGCTCATTTGCTACATACTTTACCTGTGCTCAACCTGTTTTGATTCAATTCACCCTTGCCACACTTAAAGAACCACTGAGAAATTTAGCAAGAGTGCCACAAGAATGTGCACATTCAGAAGCAAGCAGTGTAAATGATATTTCATAGGACACTACCACTAATGTTCAATGGCATTATCCTTTATAGAAACTCATCTGCTATCAACCAAATTCATTTTTCAACTTGCTTTGTTAAATTTCAATACTAAGAGGCTAATCCTGAAAAATAATGACCAAATAGCCAGTTTGACTTAAAAATTAGTTACCTCTTCAGTATTCTGTGTTAAGAACAAATACCTTGTTATGCATTTTACCGAAACATTATGAAATCAACGCAGTTCACCACAGATACGTTTGAGACAATTTATATTTGACTCACCATACTGGCAGCGAGGACCCTGAAATCCTGCAGGACACTGGCACATCTGAGATCCTGCTTCAGAACACTTCCCTCCATTGAAGCAGGTGCCAGCAGTGCACAGCACTAGTACACACAAACAGAATGAAACAGGGTTTTGTTTATTTTGTGCCAAGGATTCTCCAGAACTGCCTCTTTCTATCATAGCCTGCTGTAAAAGGCACTTCCAAATAAATGGAATTCATCCTTAAATTTAAATTGAAAAGTTAAACTGCAACAGAACTTTATCATGACTACAGCTACTATGTTAATATGATGAAGTTTAATTTTAATAAAAATAAGACCAGGATGATGCAGTTTAGCCTGAAGATGCTTCAAAATCAGAAAACAGTTTCCTAGGACTGAAAGTACTTCCTGAATGCGGAATGACAGAAGAGATGAACTGCTGGAGAATAATGCAGCAATGATTAGGAAACATTGCTGTATTAAAAGATGTTTTGTACGTCCAAGGGAATTACAATAATTCTCTTTCCTTCTTCCAACACAGATTTACTTGCAATAGGTTAAATTCCACATACTTGAGCCAAATTAGCATAGAGTATCAAATATAAGAGAATAATCCAGCTAGTTCAGTGCCTTAAAGAATTCAATATAAGTCTTCGCTGCTCATTCAGGAAGATGATAATTCTACATTACTACTGGTGTTCAAGTGTTACATTCCTTTATGCCAGAGACTAAAATACAGATTGCAAACATATCTTTGACTTCTTACAATGGAACAGGTGCACACTAAATATGTAGATTCACACTGAAACTAACAGAAATACCTTTCAGGCTTTTTTCCTCTTTTTTCTTTTTTTTTTTTTGTGTAAAGAGAATCATAAAAGCAAGCTCTCTGAATGTGGTCTCAAGTTGGTACAACGATTAAAAAAAATACATAGGAACAGATGCTTGCTTTCCTACAGAAAATATAATTACCAACAAAACAGTAGCAAAACTGAACAGCGAGTAGATTGTTATCTTCTATTCATGTCTTGTTAACAGTGGTTAAAGTGCTCCCCATCATTTAAATTTAATTCCATGTTTTAGGAAAACATCCAATCATGATTAAAAATTACTAATAGGAACAGGTTCTCATCAGATGGAGAACTGCAGGGTAGAAAGTCAATTTACTTCAATGGCAACAGCAGCAGTAAAAAAAGCCAAACCAGTCAGACTCTACAAGGAGTGCTATGTCCAAGAAACAAGTGCCTTACAGCAGATTTGTTTGCATAATTTGGGTAACAGCAATAAATCTGGTTGGCCTGTCAAAGCCACACTGGCACAAAAAAGCTGCAGCAACTATAAGCGGTAGAAACTGAATTTCTGATTAGCTCAAAATTCAAGTTCCTTGGGACTTTTGCATACAACAGCTTTTGTATTTTTTAAAAGAAATTTCCTTTTCCATAAATAGACTGCATCTTTATAGATTAAATTTCTAGTTATAAATAGCAAGAAAAAAATCTTTCTAGAAGGAAGATTTAGTAAGAAAATAAGGTCCAAGGATATGATCTCTTCAGTCATTGTTCTGTCACAGTTTTGCCATCCACTTACAGTGCAAACAGCCAGGTTCGTTGTTGTGTTGGACCCATCCAGGACAGCACTTATAGACAGTCTGATGCTCCATTCTGTACACCTGCTTGTACACTGTGTAGTAACCAGACCTTTGAAGAGAATTAGTTCAGGAGAACAGTCACAGCTCTAATTTAGCTTATTTGCATCTCATCAGTAACAAACCGTACTCAAAAATTTAAAATATTAAATACATTGTAAATATGGTTACGTCTCAACAGGATATGATATACCCAATAATTAAGTTGTCAACTGTTTCATCTTCAGAAATATATGCAACTTTTCCTCACCAAAAAAAAATAAAATAAAATAAAAATTTGCACTCTTTCAGTAACAGAGTTCATTTATAACAATAAATAATTACCTTCTCTCATAGCCCATGCACCACCTCCTCCCTGTGCAACCTTGTTTCCACATCTTGACCATCCGACTGAAGGCTTGAACGCATGGCTGCTGGTGTCCTACTAGTGCCAACTCAAACACTGGACAGACATTTGGCCTTCAGGGAAAGAAAAGAAAGATATATAATTCTTAACACTATATTTGAAAGTCTAAGCATAACGAAGTATATTTTTCCATATGCAATGGTTATTAAGAGATTGAAACAGATTTTACATTGCTATTTAAGAACACTGTACTTCTGTGACTGATTTCTCCTTGAACTGATCACAAATGCTCTCTTGGAAGAGCACACTATCCAGAAACACCTGACAAACCACGACCGACTGAGCTTAGACGGGCAAGTAAGTGCTCCCCAGGCTTTCATAGAGCCAAGATTTCGTTAGTGTATTGGTTGCACAAGCCATGAGCGTGACCATGTTCCTGGTAGCAATTTTGACATGAGCTGAACAGCTAGGCCAGCAAAACACGACCGTACCTTGTTCCCAGAAAATGAGAGGTGAAGCACCTGAGCAGGATTTGACTGACGACTCAGGCACTATTTGCTGTCTCTAGATGACAAAAGCCTTTCAGATGAGGCACTGCTGACAAAGGATGGTGCTTCACAAGCAGAAAAGCTGATGGCTAAGGTGAGGGAGCCTGAAAGGCTGTGTTTGTGCTGAATTTGCTGGGAACATCACTGCCCAGCCACCATTGGGCTGATGGAGCAGGGTGGAAATCTCAGGCCTGGCAGCTCCAGGTACTGACCTTCATAGCTCAAGCCACCAAACATCCAGGCTCTAAATATAAATAACGAAAGCAGATCCTACCTTAGAAAACAGCATGTAAACTGAATAAAGCATACAGTGAAATACAGGTTGTGTACAAGTCCGTGGAGGCTTTGCCATTGATTCCAGAGCAGATGAGATTTAGCTAAATTGCTGAGGAAGAGGGGCGGTCTGTGAGAGCCCCCCCTTTGCGAGCAGCCCCCTCAGGGAAGCAGATGAAATTTTAAGAGGAAGCGTAGCTGTTCTCGGCTGATTATTCAAGAATAACAAGAGCAAAATAAAAGCGCTGCTTTGGAGGATGAGATGTAATCTTCATCCTACTAGCTAGCCCTGGTTAAAAAACAGCAACATCCCACAAGGTATTGAGGGTCAAAAATAAAGAGTTAAGTGTTACATGTTGATGTTTTTGTAGAGATAGTGTCAGCCTTGCTCTGATTTCATTGCAGATGTAAATAAGGAAGTGCTGTATGCACCAGGTCCAGCTGAAGCAAGAAAGCTTGCTTTTTTGTTGTCTTTTAAGACAGACTAGCATATCAACATTAAAATTCGGTGATTTTTGGAGTGGTTTACAGACTGCTAATGTAGTAATTTAATGAATTCCTTCCAAGCAGCCTGCTTTAGCTGCTGAGGCTTTGCAAACTTAAAACTTTAGGATTAAAATAAGGGGATGTACATGAACTTTGTATACTTAATCCAGTTACCATTTGGTAAATTCACCATTTTAGCAGCTCTGTCATCCAGCTAGCAGAGTTATTCCAGAAATGTTAGTTGGAGAGCCCCCTGCTCAGGCCAGGCACCATCCAAGAGGAATACACGCTCACTTCCTCTGTCAAATGAGGGAGCACGAACGTGAAGTTGTGAGAGAAAGCAACTTTTCTTTCCACATTAATACAATAGATAATGGTTCTAGCCCAACAGCTGCCTGGCAGGTAAAGTTATTATTAGCTACACGGGATATTGTTACTATCTCATTCAAGATTTATGGCGGTTTTTATCTGCGAGGCCCAAAGTACTTTACATCTCCCTGTTATGGCTGAGTACCACGCAAGGCAGCCTTTCTAATGAAAAAGTACATCCTTCATCTGCAGGTCTTCAGGTAGCTTACAAACATCATTAAATTAAGCCTCTGCAGAACAGGAAAATACTATAAGCATGGTCATTTTTACTGATTAAATACTTAGGAAAAACCTGCACGCCTAGATCAAAACCAGCCTACGACAGAGCAGAAGTCTGAAACAAACCCCAGAAGAGGAGTGTGACTTCCCTGCATTTTGGGCACCTGAAGAACCACAGGAGGAAGCAGGTGCTGGCTCATTTAATCATTAGCCAGCACAGGTTTTAGTTATTCCACCTTCAAAAAACACACACACACAAAAAAAATGTTGCCAAGTCATAATCTCATCTCCATCATTCTCCTGCCTCCCCTGCCTGCTTCTTTACAAGGAAGTCTACCCAAACTGTGACACGTGTAAGACACACAGACAGCATCTGTAACACGAGAACTGGAAGTGTGGACACCATAATTCAATCATGCTTGCCCTCTGTCAGTTTTAGCCCTGCTGGGCGACAAACATCTGTATTGCAACACATTACGTGCTTTGACCACTAAGGGTCTTCCTGGAAAGCACAGCAGTCAGCCAGGACACCAGGGGATTCACAGTGATAACCAACAAAATATAGGAAGGTTCAGCTGTCACCGAGAGCCTTCCCTCACCCCTCAAGAAGTGCCTCCTAACCCTGTTCCTCACAGGAGACCTACAGAACTTGAGCCAGCTCTGGGAATTGAAATGCATGCCTATACCGATAGCTGAACGTAATGGGGTCAGTGGCAATGGGTTAGGGCACATCTGTTTCCCCCAAAGCCCAGCCCTCCTGACCCTTCAGGGGATGCTTTGTGCTGGCCCAGGATTGTCTCTTCATATCTCTTCCACGTTGCTCCACGCTCTTCTCCCTCCACTGCACAGCCCGCTTGCTGCCCTACTCCATGGTCTTCGGGCTGGCCCTAACTGCAGCTGCCAACACCACAAAGTGAGACAGAAGACAGTGGCAGCACAGCTTCAGCTTGCCTCAAATTCCTCCAGAAGCCCCCCTTCCCGTGTTTCCACATCATCTCCATCACTCCACAGCCCTCCCCACGTGTGCCAGCTACCCCCTCAAGTCACCCCATCGTTCAACATATTGAGCTTCAGCTCAAAGCGATTGCTCCCAACCCATTCTTAGCGCAGTCTGCTGTTTGTTTCAGAGCCAAAGGAGCTCTTTGTATGCCCAAAATCTTGCCTGCTTTTTTTTTTTCCCTCTCCATTACGTCAGTTGGTCTAATAAAACCCTTGCCTTACTTAGCAACCATGCCTCACTTAGCAGGCTTTTTAGAACGACTCTCCCTCCAGTGAATAGAACATCATGTACTGATAATTCATGCATATCTCCTTTTATTAGAATTGCCTAAAACTTTCCAGATAACGGTACGTTCATCTGCATCGCTCCCCCATAAATAAAAGGAGAAGCTGACAATTGTAACGACACGCCGAGCCCATCCTACAAAACTCTTACTCGTGTGCCATTGCTGTGTTCCCAGGAATAGCTTCCCAGGATTGACTTCTGTGATGTACTTAATAGGATTGAATGGCACTCGCAGAATAAAGCGAGGCAGCAGCATAAAGTCGTATGTTTATTAAGATTTATTCAAAGCAAGCCTTTCCTCCAAGATGCCCTTGGGATAATTTAAAGGCAGATATCAAAACCTCTGCTACATTATAATTAAATTGCAGCAATCGCATAGCATGTAATCCTTCGCTGGCAAAACCAACAGATAACACGTGCCCTCTCCGACAGTTAGGGAAATGCTCAACTCCCCACACTCAAAGCACCGTTTTTTAGCTCTCCAACTCGTTGTGCTTTGATACGTTAACTATAGCTTAACCAGTTCCTTGAACAACAGTACCACTGGGAAACACAGTTCTGTATTATGACACTTGGCTAAATAGATGCCATCTAAGACTAAAGTGAAGGCTCTAGTGGATGTAATGGTACAACTGGAGGAAGAGCTCCACTTCTACTCCCGTGCCCTCTGCATCCAGAAAATATTTCTTAATGGGAGTTTAAGTGTTAAAATATGCCAAACACATAAATGTCTATTGTGTTCTGTGCTTTGATTGATACACCAGTCCCTTAAAACCTTTTTATACTGATGCTCTCTGTTAGCCAAGACTAACACGAAGGCTGTTATTAGCTTGTCAGCCTGACTTGGGCAAGTCAGAAAGCTCACATTTAATATTTGCATTAGGAGAGTGCCCTTTAAACAAAGCCACCCCACACACTTCCAGTTCAGGACTTGAGATTCTAATGAATTAGACCAATGCAAAGCACGGCAGCCTCAGCTAATCATATGGGTGTGATGTCTGGGAACCACTGCACAACAGAAGTTCAAAGGGAAAAATTAAAAGCACTTCCAGGAGGGATAAAATTCTTTCCCATGTTTAGATTTTGAAAGACTTAAGTCTCTCCTTAAGTGGAGAGACTGCAAACCTGGCTTAGGAAGCCCCCGAGTCTCACATCCTAGATGCAGAAGCAGTTATTTCAGGCAAAGATTTGCTGCATGCTCACGCTTCTCTTACAGCCTTCACTGGCCATTTGGGGTCTACTCCCGGAAGCAGCCCACAAGCTCAGTGGTCTCTGGTCTTACCCTGATTTTATTTCACAACATCTGCATCTTCTCTACAGCTCCATATCCCCAAAGTGCACACCTACACCAGACTCAACTTCCATGCAGAATAGCCTTGTGGTTTTCAAGAGAAGCTGGCAAAAAATCCTCTTATAGATTCAAAGGCCAAAGGGTTAAATACAATTAATGTCACAGCTGGGGAACAAGGGGATGTATACTCCTGTCTTGTCCATGTGTCACAAGTGCTTTCTTGATTTCTGAATACGTGGATTTGGTGACACAGACCTGGAGAAATAGTTTCTTTTGAGAAGGCTGGTGAGCAGCTGTCACCACCACCAGTAGCATCCCGCCACCACCAGTAGCATCTCAACCGAGATCCCCAGAGAAGCAGCTGCAGCCTTCCCATAACCCATGGCAGAGGATGGGCGATAGAAGCAGCAGGTCTACAATTTCCCAAGAGATGTACACTATTTTTTATTCTTGCCCATGACTTTGAAAGTAGAAGGATATTAGCACAGCTTTTGCACAAAATCACCCAACCATAAGTAATTTTATGTAGCAATAGTTGAAGAACAACACTGCTTTCATGTAACAAAGGAAAAGGCAGCCACCAGTACAGGCCATCTGCTCACAGGAACGGAGGAAGCTTTCTGCACACACCCTGGTACGTGT